ACTGCCTTCGTTCCATTGTACCAGGTGAGTTGAGGCGAGGGATGGCCTCCTGAAGAGGTACAACTTAGCTCCATCTGCTTCCCTGCTTTACCTGGTACCTCTGCACCTCTGAGTGTAGGAGGCTGTGGGACAGGGACTGAAATACAAAGTGATTACATATTTCTACTGCGAAGTTACATTTTCATTAAAAATACAGATTGTGCTGAAATATTATCGAGAACAAACTACACACTGCATTTAATCGCTTGTACAAACTGCACACTATATCTTACCTACTACAGTCAACTTTGCTTCTTTAGGTGTTAGACCGAAGATGCAACATGTGTAAGTCCCTCCGTCCTCGAGGTGAGCATCCTGAATAAGTAGATGGAACTCTCCTTTCTTCTCGTCACCAACAACCTGAGAGGTTATATTAAGGAAATCTATGGAGATGTTCCTAATAGATTGTAATCTAGGGGACGGCCAAAATATATATCAATTATCCGTTGTTTAATCATTTTAACCGTAACTGAGGTGTACATTAAAATGATAGGTCTGACATGTTTGATGATAACTTGCACTCACCACTGTTGTGTCATTACGTTATGATGTGTGTGAAGCCTTCTAAAAAGAAATTAACCTGGTAGCGTCGGTAGGCTGGGTCCACTCTTCTGCCATATGCGATAAATCTTCCGGGATGCATAACCCAAGTAACGACATCATCTGCTGACAAGTCACTTGACAATTTGTCTTGAAAATATGGCATCATTAAAGAAAAGAATGTTAAGGATAAGATTTCTACCTGATGACGAGGGTACTTTGGATCTACTCGTCGGCCGGATGTTATTTGGGTAAGACGTGGTGGTCCTAGCCAGTTAACAACATCCTCTGGCGACAAGTTATGGAAGCTGCAGTGCAGTGTAGCTGTATGACCCAGTAGCACAGCGGTGGGCAGTGGAACTGCATTGTAGCTGACACCGTCAACTGTAATACAAAATCGAGATGTTAGCTTGCATGCTAAGAATTGCTTAGCTTAACTACTGATAAACCTATATAAACGTGGTAGTAGCCCACTTCAACAATACAAAGTGAATAATAAACAAGAAGCCATAGGTGACAATCCTCCGTGAAGATTTATATATTTCAACAAAAACAATCCCAAGGGTCAACGCCAGACCTACTGTGCAGACATTATAATTAGGCAACGGTTAATACAATGAGGGCGCGTCACAAGCATAAAACATAAAAAAAAACTAAATCCATTACTGCTCCCAGGGCGTGTAAAGATACTGTGCTTCAAGTTTGAAGTTCATTTTGATTACACATACACAATCATTGCATTCACATAAATATCGGACTATCATGGTCGTGTCACTATTAACGATGACACCGTCTTACCGTGCCTGTTACTTATTAAGCGCGACTGGAACAGGCAAAATTCCAGCAACAGTCGCGGCTAGCACTGCGAGTGTTACTTCCGCCGGTCAGATACCCGGGATATCTGCTTGGAGAACCTCTGCTACCAGACAACTGCCTAAACCTACGGCCTATTCCACAGGATTGTAAAAGTAGGGATGTTTCTAAAATATGCATTTACTCCGATATCAAAACAGCTACGGTAAAAATAAAAAGACGTGCATCATCCCGGACATAATGCAACACCACATGCGAAATTACACAGAAATGCGACGTACGGAAGAATGCGTTTTGGCTGCGAACATCTTCCAAAAAAATTGCCATCTCTTAAACATGGGCAAAAACATCTGGAACCACTTATCAAAACCACCCCGTATCTGCATGAAGTTCCACCCCCACTGCTATTCCAAACAACGCGTTTTTCTGGACCATTCCAATTCGCCTCGTAATTGTAGGGGTGCGTCTGCAATATTACATTGACCGCGAAAGCAGCAACGGCAAAAATACACATTCATGCATCAACACGTACGGGCATGCCCGCAGACGGCGTATAAAATTGTGTGCCGATTACACAAAGAGATCCCAGTGTTTTGACTGCGAACACGAAAAACCAACCGTTAACAACACTCCGTCTCGGAGGTCCTGACATCATTCACGAAGTAAAAACTACTATAGATATATGGTAATATCATAGACATGAAAAAGACGACAGTGATAGTAGCCTTCTGGCTTATAACAATACAAGATCGATTACATAGCATATTACTATCAATGATCCCATTAGAGTTTTATGGCCACATAATCATTGCCGGTTGCGTCCCAATCGTTGCAATCAGTCCGTGCGCACTGTGAAAGACTCGATCGTTTGCAGCAGCATCTCTATCTGTCAAGCTCAAAGTTGAATCTGGAAACAATACCGTTTCGGCATCTAGAGAGGCTTTGCCACCAGCAGATGGCGTGTCGGTTTCAATAAACATCAAATGTGTCGTTTACTTGTATTTGCGTTTGAAATAGAGCATGTAAAAATATTATTTGTTTTTCTTTTTTAAGGGAGCCAAATATATTGAAATCATTTTTCGCATTCCAAATTCACATCTAGCCTTAGAATCCTGCACATGAGATGTCTGAATTAAATTAGACATTTTAACAACTAAACAACATTTCACTACTTAACCCTACCTGGACGGGGGGGGGGGCTAAAAGTGCCCGCGGCAACTTTGATGTCACCTAGCGTCTGAACGACTAGCCGTAGAACGGCCAAACTTGGTGACTTTTCCTAGAATATTGTTGGCAACAATTCTCTATCATTGGAATAAGATAATAAATTTTTGTGTTGCCATGGCAACGGGTTTCTGACAGGCATTTTTTGCTAAATTTAGTACTTTTTGTTTCAACAATAGAATTTTATGGGTTTTATGTCAAGTTACTCATGGTTTCTAATATTAATAACATCCCATATAATTTTATGTAAATTTTATCATTAAATATGCATAACTTATGCTAATTTGATGACGTCATTGGCCAAAATCCAAGATGGCGGACCATATCATTAGAACAGGTATATACGGGTTTATTTTCAATTTAAAATTTCATCAATACTTCTACCAAAAAGGTTTAATGAAGGTCTTTAGTATGTTACAATTGTTTTTAGGCTTTATCATGAAAAAAAACTATTTTTGAAAATTCAAGATTGATGATCCAAGATGGCGGATATATAAAATCTGCATGACGTCATTTTATGACGTCACCGGTGTTGCTATGGGCAACATAAGACTTAGTACACCATAATAATCTGCCATAAACACTTTTGGTACAGTTATGTTGAATACCATTTAGTTTTTAGGGAAAAACCTATTTAGATGGTCTTGGCCAATAAAATCACATTAATGACGTCATAATGACGGCATATTACGTCATAACGACATAAAAATTAGTAGATATGATAAATTTTTACTAGTACACCATTCTCTGAAAATTTGGTGGTCATACGACATACCGTTCGCGAGTTCTTAGGGGGGGGTCAAAAGAGCCCCCCCCCGGTCCCCCCATGTCAAAAAAAGCCCGGTCTAGGTAGGGTTAAAGGACGAAGAGAGGATTCTCCGTGATTTTAATCGGCGCTATATCCGTGCGTGGGAGTTGGTGGATGTTTGACTGCAAACATACATTAGCTACGTTGCCTCCCCGTTGCGCAGATCACTCCGCATGCACTTAGCCTCTTTACCGAAATTCACGGTCAGGCATGTGCTTCGATTTCAATTTCTCCTCGACAAAGAAACGAGGTGTGCCGGTCCCATGGAGAGTTGGGCAGGAACATACCCGCCCTGTGGCAGTTTTAAAGGCGAAGAGAGGATTCTCCGTGATTTTAATCGGCGCTATATCCGTGCGTGGGAGTTGGTGGATGTGTGCTAACGACTAGGCCGCCTCA